CTCCCGGGGGGGGGAGCGGGGGGGAACCCGGGGGGGCCCCAGGACGGGCGGGAGGCGACGGAGCGGTCGCCGACGCAGGCCAGCAGCAGCAGCAGCACCTGCAGCAGCAGCACCTGCAGCAGCAGCAGCAGCAGCAGCAGCGGCAGCAGCGGCGTGAGCCCGCCGCGGCTGTCGTCCGTGGCCTTCCTGGCGTCGCGGAGTCTCCGGGGGGCCCCCCTGGCTGCTGGGGAGGGTCTCGAGCCGGCGCAGGGGCCCTCGGCTGGGGGCCCCTCGGGGGGCACCCTGGGGGCCCCCGGGGGGGCCCCCGGAGGGGCCGTCGAGCGGCGGTGCAAGCCGCTGCCGCGGGACTTTGAGCGGTTTGTTGCTGCTGCCGAGCTGCTGCTGAGCAGCGACAGTGCTGCAGTGGTGGCTTCAGCTTGTGCTGCAGTGCAGCAGCTGCTGCCAGCGAGCTGCTGGGGCTGCGTGGTGTCTCCGCTGCTGCGGTGTCTGTACACCTGCGGGGCGGACCTGAAGGAGCTGCTGCTGCGGGTGGTGCACTCTTTTGCTGCTGCTGCTCCGTGGCTGTTTCAGCAGCACTTGCGGGAGTTTTTCGTGAAGCAGGGGGACTGTGCTGCAGTGCGGCAGCAGAAGCTGCTGCTGCTGCTGCTGCTGGGGCTGGCGGACGCGGCGAGCCTGCCGCTGCTGCTGCCCGAGCTCCGGGTGTACGTACACTGGGACGGAGACGCAGCACTTGCTGCTGCAGCATGCAGGGCCCTCACGCTGCTGGCGCTGCAGCACCAGCAGGCCCAGGGCTTTTGCTTGCGGCAGTTTGCTGCGCTGCTGGACTCGCGGTCTGCTGCTGCTGCTGCTGAGGCGGTGGTGGGCGTGCGGACGCTGGTGCAGCAGCAGCAGCTGCAGCAGGACGACGCAGCAGCGGCGCGGCTCGTGCTGCAGCTCGCTGCGCAGCTGCAGCGCCGCACTGCTGCTGCAGCAAGGGCCTCCGTCATTTGGCTGCTGGGCCGCCACCACCAGCAGCTTTCTTGGCTAGCAGCAGATGCGCTGCGGCAGCTAATAAGGGGTTTTCGAGAAGAAGCAGAAGAAGTGAAGCTGCAGCTGCTGCTGCTGGCCACGCGCCTCTGGGCCTTCCACCGGGCCAACGCCGCCCGCGGCCCCCCGCAGCAGCAGCAGCAGCAGCAGCAGCAGCAGCAGCTCCTCCTGCTGCAGCAGCAGCTCCACTACAAGCAGCAGACTCCCGAGGAACAAGCAGCTCACCTGCTGCATATGGACGGCGGAGACGAGCAGCAGCAGCAGCAGCAGCAGCAGCAGCACAAAGAACTCCCCTGGAACCCCGTCTCGCCTGCCCTCTCCTAGGCCCCCACACACTAGCGGGGCCCCCAGGGGCCCCATGGGGTCCCTCTGAGGGCTTTAGGGGGCCCTCTGCGGCCCCATGGGGGCCTCTGAGGGCCGTAGGGGGCCCCCTGAGGCCCCATGGGGGCTCCCTGAGAACACTGAGGGGCCCCTGAGGCCCCATGGGGGCCCCTTGAGGTCCCTGAAGGGGCCCCTGAGGACCCTGGGGGGCCCCTGTGCCCCCTCTTCTAGAGGAGATGGGGGGCCCCCCTGATGGCCTCTGGGGTTTGGGGGGCCCCCTTTCTTCGTTATATCATTTTTCGTGTCTCGACAGATGCATGCATGCAGCGGTGGCTCCAGGTGTCTGTACACCCCGCGGCCGCAGCACGCCGCCCAGACTGCTGCTGCTTGGCTTTATTTCTAGGCACTTCATTTGCGGCTTAGGGCTAGGGTTTAGGGTTCACCGAGGGTTTAGGGTTTGGCTAGGGTTTAGGATTACCGAAGGTTTAGGGTTGGGCTAGGGTTTAGGGTTTGCCGAGGGTTTAGGGTTTGCCGAGGGTTTAGGGTTTGGCTAGGGTTTAGGGTTAACCGAGGGTTTAGGGTTTGGCTAGGGTTCAGGGTCTACCGAGGGTTTAGGGTTAGGGTTTAGGGCTTGCCTAGGGTTTAGAGGCTCCCAGGATATACGGTTTGTCCAAGATTCAAGGGTCGCTGACAGCTAAGAGCTCCTCAGGGTTTAGGGTTTACTGAGGGTTTAGGGTTTACTCAGGGTTTAGGGTTTTTCACTGTCATGGGTTTACTCCGAGGGTGTATATAGGGTTTAGGGTTTATTTAGGGTTTAGGGTTTATATAGGATCGAGGGTTTGCCTAGGGTTTCTTGTGGGGCCAGACTAAGAAGCCCTGTAGCCCTGCCGGGTGTACGTACACCTCAGAGGCGCTGTAGCATGCCTCCAGCTTCTGAAGGCGGCCAGAAGCTGCTGCAGCAGCAGCAATAGCGACAGCAATTCACACAAGATCGACTGCAGCAGCAGCAGCAGCAGCAGCAGCAGAAGTTCAAGATAGACAAAACGGCAGCCGCAGCAGCTGGGAGGGCCGTCCCCTTGGGCTTTGTTGCGGTGTAGGTACAGCTTGAGGAGCTGGTTTGGCTCCGAGCTTTTGCACACTCAGCAGCAGCAGCAGCAGCAGCAGCAGCAGGAGAAGCAGTAGCAGCAGCAGCAGCAGCAGCATTATTTTGAATAGTTTAGCGGGAAGGCGCAGAAAGACCTGCAGCTGCTGCAGACAAACGGAGAAGTCTGGGTCTTGCATTTTCCTGAGTCGCCTTCCGCAGCGCAAGCAGCAGCAGCAGCAGCAGCAGCAGCAGCAGCTGAAGTGTTATTTTGCATTTAGAAAAGTTAAAAAACAACAAATTGGATTTAAAAATGATTTAAATTGCAGAGGAGGGAAGTAAGGAGTCACTGGTCGGCTGCTGCAGCGCCAGCAGCCCCATAGAGGCTGGGGGGCCCCTGAGTTCCGAAGGCGGCGTCTGCGGCTCTTGGGCTCCGTTTTCCTCCAGAACTCTTTAAAATTGTATTATTTGTCATTTATTTCTTTATTATTGAATTGTTTCGGCAAAAGAACGGGGATTTGAGGGGTCTTGGCTGCGGCGAGCGGGCGCGCAGAGTGCAGCTGTCTATACACCCCAGCGCGGCGGCTCTCCGCTCGCCTCCCTCGCCTCCAACTGCGTTTAATGGCTCAACACATTTGAATTATTCAAATTATATTTTATTTTGGGATTTGTTTTCGAAATCGCAAGCAGCAGCGCGGCAGCAGCAGCCGAAATGGCCCACGCGGCGCCCCAGGACTTCAACTCCATGAAGGTTGCGGACCTCCGCAGCCTCCTGGCGGACAGGGGCCTCCCGACAACGGGAAAAAAGGTGAGAAGAGTGCAGCAGCAGCAGCAGCAGCTGCTGCTGCTGCTGCTGCGGGGCAGCAAGGGCGGGGGAAGCCTCCTCGCGCCCGCAGCCGCAAAATCCTGCACTTTCTGCTGCACCTGGAGGCCCCCTGAAGGCCCTGGGGCCCCGTGACCACTGGACCACAGGACCACTGGGCCTCCGGGGGGCCCCCAGAAGATGCCAGAAGGGCCAAGGCTCCTTTTAGTGTCTCTTCTGTCTCCTTGGCTTCCTTTGTATCCTTCCGTGTATATATACAAATGCATATATATATATCTATATGTATAGATTAAAAATGCATGCATGATATGTATAATATATATATTATACATATTATAATATAAATGTATTGTATTATTTATATATATGTGTATATATACATGCATGTAAAATGTGTATGTGCTTATCTATGAAATATATGCGCCTTTGAAATCCATAGCTTACTCATGTGTGTTGAACTTGGGTTTCTTTTGGATTTTATTTTTCATTTGTATTTTTATTTTTTTATTTTTCATTTCATGTATTCTTTTTAGCTTTCGGTTGCTGCTTCATTCTGCAGCAATGGGGTTTTGTTTGCCGCTGCATTTCCGCAGACAGAGCTGGTTGAGCGCCTCCAGGCTGCTGCTGCTGCTGCTGCTGCTGCGTCTCCCAGCAGCAGCATGGCGCAGGGGAGCCCCTCGGCGGGGCCCCCGTCAATGGCAGCAGCAGCAGCAGCACCAGCAGATGCTGCTGCTGCTGCTGCTGCTGCTGAGGAAGAGGCCTCAGCTGCTTCTACAAAGCTAGGCGGCAGCTCGGCTCCTTCTGTCTCCTCGCCAGCAGCAGCAGCTGCTGCTGCTGCTGCTGCAGCACGAACTGCAGCAGGTGCAGCAGCAGCACTGGGGACTGTTGCGTGACTTCTTCTCTTTAGCCACTTGCAGCACTTGCGTACAATTTAGACTTTATTTCTTTTTCGGATTTTATTTTTATTTGCTTTTTCTTTTTAAATTTAATTTGCATGCAGTAAACCCTTTCTGCTTGCTGCTGCAGTGTCTATACGGCCCGACATGACAGAGGAGGAAAAACTGGCGGCTCGCAAAGCCAAATTCGGTGACGCCCAAAACCCTAAACCCTAAACCCTAAACCGTAAACCCTAAGAGCCTCTTAAATCCTGGTTCTCTAGACTCTCAAACCCCAATCTCGCAAACCACGGCAGCCGATGAAGCCCCAGTTAATCAAACCCTGAGGGCCTGCTTAACCCTAAGTGTGTAAACCCTAGCAGCCGCCTAAACCCTAAACCCTAAACCCTAAACCCTAACGGCGCGCCAGACTGCATCGCTGCCACAGAAGACTTTTGGTGGGATGTTTTTGCGTTTGTTTCTTTCCTGAGCTCTTCATTAAATTCATTTTCTCTAGGTTAATTTAATTTAGTTTAGTTTTGTTTTATTTCATTTATTTTTATTTTGAAATTAGGCATAAAAAGCGACCAAGAGAAGATGCAGGAGAGGGCTCGGCGGTTTGGCCTCAGCAATGCCTCGCTGGAAGAGGAGAAGAAAAGGAAGAGAGCCGAGAGGTATTTTTGTCAAATAAAAGGCTGAAAACAGAATAAGTAACAAATAAATAAATAATTAATAATGAATTATAAATCATTTAATAGTTTTTACGTGAAAAAAGCCACAAACGGCACCTCAGAGGCGCGGCCGCCACAGGCCTGGGGTGTACTTACAGCTGGGGTGTACGTACACCACAAAAGGGTGATCGGAAACTGAAGACTTTTTCTCCTTTTTTTCTCTTCTTTTTTTATTTTCTTATTTTATTCTTTTCGTTTTAAATTTTAAACCATTTTTGTTTGTTTTTGCAGATTTGGCTTGGCGGTGACCTCCCCGGTCGGCGCTTCAGCGGTAAAGCAGCTCCCTGTGGACATAAGTTGATGACTTTTGGGTTTTTATTTTATCTCTTTTGTTTCAAATTGAGTTAGGTTGAATTCAGTTTAAATAAATAAAATAAATAAACCATATTTCAGTTGAAAAGGCGAAAGGGGCTTTGCTGTAATGGGCGAAGTTGCATGCATGCTGCAGCGTTTCTTTTCCTGTTTCTTCTGGTTTCTTGCCATTTATGAATTATTCAGCCAATGAAATCAACTAACTTGTTATTTAATCAAATTAAATGAATTAAATTAATTAATTTAATTAATTTAATTCAACAATTGTTTTAATTTGAACTTTAGGCTTCTGGCGTCGACGCCGACGAGGCCGAGAAGCGCCGCAAGCGGGCCGAGCGCTTTGGCCTCGTGGATGAGGTGAGTGGGACTTTGTAGAAAAAAGAAAATGAATTTATTTCAAAGTATTAAATGATAGAAATGAGCTTATTGAAAAGAATTAATCACTAAATATGAGTTTATCTAAGAGAATCAAATAACAACAAAGAATTAAATAAGAAAAACAAATTAAATGGAGAATTTAGCAAGAGAATTTGTGAAAATGACGAAAAAGGCGGACAGCTGGCCGGATAAATAAGACAAGGCGGCCAAACTAGGCCTAAAGCTAAAGCTAATTAATCAATTGATTATTTTAATTAATTAATTAAAATGATTAATTAGGATAAATACAATAAACATAAATTAAAAAATAAATTAAACATAAATTCGAAAAAAGACAAAGTTCGTCTTTAGGAGAACCTGCTGAGACACCGCGCCGGCTGTGGCCCCACACCCGGGCTTCTAGGTGTAACGACACCTCGTGTCTCTTGCCTCCTGCATGCATTAAGATATTACAAATATAAATATATTACAAATATTTAATAAATATATTATTAATACATTGCTTATGCATTTAAATACTTATGCATAAGTTTACTTAGCTTTTAAATGCATGCATGCATACACATGTGCAGTACGCGTTGATGCAATGTATGTGTACAATATGTAAATACATACTATATATATTATATATATATGCAAATATATCTCTAATATATAGTATCATATGAAGTACATATTTTGGATTTGTTTGCAAAAATAGAAAAAGATCTTTTCTGTTTCTTGTGGGGCCATTAGGAAGAAAAAAAGAAGAAAAGGGCCGCGCGGTTTGGCCTGGAAAGTGAAGAAGAAAAGCTGCAGCGGCGGCTGCAGAGGTTTGGGGGAGCTGCTGCTGCTGCTGCTGCTGCAGTGCCGCTGTGAGTTGGGGTGTACGTACACCCCAGCGCAGCAAACCCCACACCGCCTCAAAAACAATTTCTTCAAAAACGGCTGCTGCAGCCCGCCGAGGGATTTAACGCAGATCAAGGCAGATGCGCAAACCCTAAACCCTAGAAAACCCCAAAACCTAGGAGCGTTAAACCCTAGCAACCCCTCAGCCCCCGTAAACCCTAGAAATACCCTTGTAAACCCTAGAAGACCCTTCCACCCCCAAATCTCTAGCTTACTCTAGTAAACCCTAGTGAACACTCAGCCCTAGAAAGCCCTAAACCCTAGACCCTAGTAAACCCTAGGCCCAAACCCTATCAGACCGCTGTTGACTTGTAAACCCTAGAAACCCTAGACCCCAGAAGAGCGAAAAGGGGGGAGCAAAGAGAAAAGGAGAGAGAAGAGATGGACTTTAGAGAAACAAAAAAGAAACAAAAAGGATACAAGACAAAGTTCAAATAAATGAATTATTTCATTAATTTTTTTTATTTAATTAAACACCAAGGCCGCGGTGGCCCCAAAGCGCAAGATCTCGGGACTCCAGGGTCTTAGGGTTTAGGGTTTAGGGTTTGGGAGTTAAAGGGGGCAACAAGATCACGGCCAAGGAAGCAATTAAAAGGGAAATACAAAAAGGAGAACAAGGAACAAAGAGGGAAACAAAAGAATAAATTTATTTGTTTTGTTTGACTTTGAATTTAATATTCTCAAGAAGGTGAAAAAAGCGAAAAGAAACGGAAAATGTATAAATAAATAAACGGAGAGAAGGCCCTTTTACATTTAAATGTAAATGTTTGTGGTTTTAATATATTCTAATTAATATAGAATCGTAAAAGTCTTCTTCAGGTATTTCAAGGATGTCTTCTACTTGCACTACTTAAATTTATATTTAATATTCTCAATATATTGCATGTATATATTTTTATAAATCCATATTTAATATTCTTTACATGTTATATCTATATTCGGGCTTACATATTTGCGTTTAATATTCTATATATATTATATATATATTTGTGTTATATAAATGCTGTCTTATATATATTTATATAATGCATCTTATAAATTTCTATTCAATAAAAAAAACAAAAGGCCCAAGGACACGGAGGTGAAGTCTTTGGGCTTTCAAAGCACTAATGGACAAACATAATTCAAAATTAAAATATTTTAGACTTTAAACAATTAATGAAAAGAATTTTGAAACATTTAAATGTATAAACCCGCACAGAACTTATAAGCTCTGGCGGGGGAAATGCAGTATAGGCAAATGGGGGAATTCAAAGGAAAGAATAAAAATAAAAAAAAAATGGAAAATAAAAACAAAAGCAACAACTAGCGAATTGAAAGAAAACTGCAAAATGAAGAGGTAAATCTAAGAGAAGAAACAAATCAAAACTAATCTAAAATGCACTTGGAAACAAATCCAAAAGTAATCTTAAATGCACTAATAAAGAATAACTGCAGATCTCTGCTGCGCAGACTAGTGGCCTAAATCGCAAGGATTGATGCTGGACCCTAGGGGGCCCCAGGGCCCCCCTAGGGGGCCCATCTAGAGGGCCCCCTGGGGCCCCTAGGCTGACCAGTGGTCACCACACACTGGACCACTGGTCATATTTATCTGGCGTTTCTGTCTCGGATTAAAAACAATGAATGATCTTATTGATCAATTGTTGAATGAGTTCTTGAGTTGATGTCTTCGCCATTTTTACTTTTGTTGAAAAAAGACAAAATTGTCGAATGAAACAAAAAAGAAATTAATTAAATTTAAAATTGAACAAAGAAGTGAACAGCTAACGCGCTGCTGCAGCGGGAGGCGTCTTGTACTTCGCCAAAAGCGTCTCCTGCTCCCGCTTCGGGGTGCTGCAGCAAGCAGCAGCAGCAGCAGCAGCAGCAAACTAAGTATTTTCAGAAGCCGTTAGTAAGCTGCCAGATGGGCAGCTTAGGCAGGAATGACAAAAAGAAAAGATGAAGATAAAAAGAAAGGCAAACAAATGACGAATCAGAAAGCAGCAAAACAAAAGAAAGCATTGCAGCAGCAGCAGCAGCAAAAGCAGCAGCAACAGCAGCGTGAGCAATAGCAGCGAAAGGATCAGCAGCAGCAACGGAAGCATCCGCACCAGCGGGAGCAGCAGCATCATCACCATCAGCGGCAGCAGCAGCAGCACCATCAACATCAGCAGCAAAATTATCATCATCAGCAGCAGCAGCAGCACCATCATGAGCATCATTATGATGAGCAGCAGCAGCAGCAGCACCATCATGAGCACCATTATGATCAGCAGCAGCACCACCACCACCATGAGCACCATTACGATGAGCAACAGCAGCAGCAGCACCATCACGAGCACCATTATGATCAGCAGCAGCAGCAGCACCATCACGAGCACCATTATGATCAGCAGCAGCAGCAGCAGCAGCACCATCACGAGCACCATTATGATCAGCAGCAGCAGCACCACCACCATCACCACCACCAAGAGCATCACTATGATCAGCATCAGCATCACCAGCAGCAGCAGCAGCACCACCACCACCACCACAAGCATCACCATGATCAGGCTCAGCAGCAGCAGCAGCAGCAGCACCACCACCACCACCACCACGAGCATCACCATGATCAGCATCACCAGCACCAGCAGCAGCAGCAGCAGCAGCAGCAGCAGCACCCGCAGCAGCAGCAGCAGCATCAGCAGCAGCAGCAGCACCACCACCACCACCACGAGCATCACCATGATCAGCATCACCAGCAGCAGCAGCAGCAGCAGCAGCAGCACAGCAGCAGCACAGCAGCAGCAGCAGCAGCCGCAGACCAGGGGGGGTGGGCCACGAGGATGTCGAAGGCCCCGGTGCCGAGGGCCATGGGCTTTCCCATGATGATGCATTCGCTGACGCCTTTGACGGGGTCTGCGCGGTGGTGCGCAGCAGCTTCGAAAAGATGTTCATTTGTTTCTTCGAACGAGGCCAGCACCAGCGTCGAGGCCCGCATCTTCTGAATCCCGAAACGGTTTATCCCCAGCACTTCCCCCCTGCGCAGCAGCAGCAGCAGCAGCAGCGGCAGCAGCAGCGGCAGCAGCAGCAGTGGCAGCAGAAGCAGCAGGAGCGGGGTTTGGCTTGGAAAGCGATTCAAGTGGATCCAGTTCGGCGGAGCTTTGATGTGATTTGATTTGTTGTTTGAATTGTTTGAGTTCGCATTTATATGGGTTTATTTATTTGACTTGACATTTGAACTTCCTCAATTTCGCATTTTTTTCCATTTAGTTTCTCATTTCACTCTGCGCTTCAGACTTGTTCAATTCAGCTTCTGAATGGATCTAATTCAGCAATTAAATGGGTTTAATCCACCATTTAGATCAATTCAATGCAACAAAATAAATAAAATTGATTCAATTTCCTGAAAAATAAACTCATTTTGGGATTCGAAGCAGCTTGATCTCAAACAAATCTTATTCTCGAATTTGCAGTAAAGTGAATTAAATTAAAATGCAAATTGAATCAATTTTGCATTCAAAGCTTTGCAATTCATAATCTCATAAGTCATAATCTGAAAAGATCCAATCCAGTTGAATTCACATGCAGATTGAATCAATTATTGTTATTACTTAATTTCTTTATTTTTTAGTTTGCACTGAAAACTGTGCAATTCATAATTTGAGAAGATCTAACCCAGTTAAATTCGCATGCAAATCGAATCAATTAGACATTCAGAGCTTTGCAATTCATAATCTGAAGAGATCCAGCCCCAGCTGGGATTACTGCGCATGGGAAAGAGCAGAATTCTGGGTTAAAGGATTAACTGCATGCATGCATGCACGCATGCATGCACGCACGCACGCACGCATGCATGCATGCATGCAGAAAGCCCCACCTGAAAGTCATAACGTCCCCCAAGAGCGTCATGTGCCTGCAGTCGATGTCCATCGAATAGGCGTCCATGCATTTTCGAATTTCGTCAATAATGACTTGCCGCGCAGCCTCAATGCCCAGGATCTGCAGCAGCAGCAACTCAGGGAGTTTCGCGCAATTTCAAACGCCATTTCTCGCAAATTCGACTTTTAACTCTAAATTGAAGACACATTCCATTCCGAATTGCACTTGGCGAGAAATCTGGCATCTTTTTGACTAATCTGGCGCTATTTTGAGTTTATTTGAACTTTTCTTTGCCTCAAATGGTGCAGCAGCAGCCTACAGCAACTTGCTGCTGCGCCCCCGTGCTGCTGCTTCTGCTGCTGTGCTGCACCTTCACCTCAGCTTCCCCAAACCCGACACTATTCATAACACTTCCTAAAGCTGCAGCTAGCTAGGCTGCTGCAGCTAGCTAGGCTGCTGCAGCTAGCTAGGCTGCTGCAGCTAGCTAGGCTGCTGCAGCTAGCTAGGCTGCTGCAGCTAGCTAGGCTGCTGCAGCTAGCTAGGCTGCTGCAGCTAGCTAGGCTGCTGCAGCTAGCTAGGCTGCTGCAGCTAGCTAGGCTGCTGCAGCTAGCTAGGCTGCTGCAGCTAGCCAGTCTGCTGCAGCTAGCCAGTCTGCTGCAGCTAGCCAGAAGTGGAGCTCAAGTGCTGCAGGTCTTCTCTGGATCTGTGAAAAGCCTAAAGTGCTTCAAAGGACTTTGCAAAATTTCCAAAAGGACTTTGCAAAACCTCCAAAAGAACCAAACGTGGCGAAACAACTAAACCCTCGGAGCCCCGCAGCTTTCTGTGTAGCTCTGGAGGAGCTAAAGGGCCCTTTTAGGGTTTGTGGAGCTTCAAATGGGAACTGAAGATATCAAAAAAAAAAACTTCTCGAAAAACCCTCAGACAAACCTGTGCAACCTCCATCACGTGGTTTGAAGTCACCCCAGTGGCCCGAACCCCCGGAGTGCCCATCACCTCCCGCAGGCCATACCCCTCCACGGCCAAACAGTAAACATGTTTGGGGGGCCCCCCGGGGGCCCCCTTCACTTCTTCCCGCTTTATTACCCCTCTTTTCACGTCTTTGTAGCCGCACAAAACCACCTCCATCAGCCCTGCATGCACGCGGACCTCCGCCACATTTCGCAGGCTTCCACTGCATGCAAAAGACCTGCCCATGCATGCATGCGTGCGTGCATGCATGCGGGGCTGCATGCATGCATGCATGCATGCATGCATGCATGCATACAGCTAGGACGAAATGGCGGAGAGAATTCAAATAAAATGAAAATGTAATTCTAAAGAAAGCGCATGCACAAGAATGAAATCGTAACTCCTCCAAAGGAAACCGAGGACTAATTAAATAAAACAAATTCTCAACTTTTGATTTTTTCATTATTATCAACACCATTAAACAACAATACCCTGGGGGTCAGAATGAAACCCTTTGAGTCCAAAAAGGGACTTTTTTTGGAATGAAAAAGAGCAAAAAGTCTCCAAATTGGGGCTTTTTGGATAAATGGATTAAAGAGATTAAACTCTCACCGGCCTTCAAAGCCTGCAATTGGAAAAAGATTTGGTCTCCTCCAGGAGGCAGCACTCGCAGCTTCCACTCATTTACGACTTCGACGCAATTCTTCGAAAGACGCACTTTGTTTATCATTGTGTGACGCAGTATCGCCTCCTTCACCTGCAGCAGCAGCAGCAGCAGCAGCAGCAGCAGCAGCGGCGGCGGCGGGGGCGTTTATATAGGGAAACGGGGAAAACGGTGAACTGCAAATTTAGAATTAAATAAATGATTTTCCGCTTTTTCACTGCGATTCTCTACAACATTTCAATACACGGGCAGCTAGCTGTAGCTAGCTGTAGCTAGCTGCAGCTAACCACAGCTAGCCACAGCTAGCCACAGCTAGCCACAGCTAGCCACAGCCAACCACAGCTAGCCACAGCTAGCCACAGCCAACCACAGCCAGCCACAGCTAGCCGTAGCTAGCTGGAGCTAGCCGTAGCTAGCCACAGCCAGTCACAGCTAGCCGTAGCTAGCTGGAGCTAGCTATAGCTAGCTGTGGATAGCTGCAGCTAGCGGGTGCGTGTGGGACCTTGTCTGCGTTGATGTCGAGGAAAAGGGCTTGGATGGTGGGGGCGTCGAGCTTGAGAGAAAGCCAGGCCCCTTCTGGGGAGTAAACTTCTTTGATGTAGGAGCAGCAATCTGCAATTAGGGTTTTTTCAATTCTGTTTTTGACCAAAACTGCGCAGTTGTAGTCTCCAGAATTCAAAAGAGGGACTTCTATTATTGGAGTCTGGATCTTCGAAGCTGCGTTTATTATCTCCTTTATCCGCGGCACTCCCAGAGTCACGTTCATCGACGCCACGCCTGCACAAACCCTAAACCCTAAATCCTAAACCCTAAACCCTAAACCCTAACCCTAGACCCTAAACCCTAACCCTAAACCCTAACCCAAGACCCTGAATCCCACACGCTAACTCCTGGCAGCAGGCAAGATGGGGCTAGAGGAAAGGGGGGAAATGGAGGGGAGATGGAAAGGAGAGAAAAGGAGACAAAAGGAGACAGTGGAGAAAGAAGGCAAAGAGCCAAAAAATCCAAAAAAAGCCAAAATAAGGTCAAAAAAAGCCAAAAAACCCCAAAAAGAAACAAAAGAAGGCCAAAAGAAACCAAAAGGAGACAAAGGAGACAAAAAGAGACAAAATGAGATAAAAGGCGGAAGTTTACCGGCGAAGTGGAAGGTCTTGAGGGTCATTTGGGTGCCGGGCTCGCCTATAGACTGGGCCCCCGTGGCCCCCACTGCCTCCCCAGGCTCTGTAATGGCTCTTTGGTATTTTCTTTCGCTGCACCGAAGAAACTCCAAAATGTGCCGCGCAGTCACCCAGTGGTGCCTGCTGAACTTGCACAACAAGCTGCTGCTGCTGCTGCTGCTGCTGCTGCTGGAGCTGGTGCCGGGGCTCTCCTCCGCCTCCTCCTTGGCCGCCATGTGCTCCCCCTGGGCCCCTTGGGCGTGGGGGGCCCCCGGGGGCCCCCGGGGCCCCCCC